ATAACATGGCCCAGAAAATTAGAAGACAGTCCTATTTCTGGGACCATGATAAATATATTACATCTTTATTAGCTGTGGTTGAGCTGTTAGAATTTTAGTCTTGGCTGAAGCTAAATTATACTTTAATCATTGCCTGAGAATTTATTTTTGTCAAATGAAATCCTAAAGTGAATTTTTTCATGTTAGCTTTTCTCTAGGGTTTAAATATTTTATACCTGAACAAGAATTGGCTCTTTATATTTTAAGATCTTAGATATATTTGTACCAACTAAAAGAATAGCTTCTTGCAGAGGCAATAGCAATTTAACTCTCAAATACTGTTAATTTTAGTGGGAAACAAACTGAGATCCCTAGGATAGAAATTTTCCTTTCCAGTCTTAATTCTGTTCCCTGATATGTTGGACATGACTTGTCATTGATGATGTATTGTATGCTAGAAGTATGTCAGATATATTTTGATAATGCAAAAGTAAGTTGGTATTAGCTGAGCTTGTTTAGTTTTTATGATAAATTAAGCTTTGTAAATGTGATTTGATCTAAGTAAAAGTAAATTTTATACTGGAGGATGCAGAAGTAATGTCTAAATGAGACCCTAAAAATAGGCCCTTAGGAAGGCAGAACATTGCTAGATGGTCCCTATCAGTTTGGTTTTCTGGATTATTTAGATCACCACTCTTCAATAGAACTTTTAATGATGATGGAAATGTTCTATAATCTTTGCCATCTGGTACATCACTAGGCACATGTTGCTATTGTGGCTTGAAATGTGGCTAATGTGACTGAGGTACTGAGTTTTTAATATAGTTCATTGAAATCCAATTAGTCACACATGGAACAACACAAATACGGATTATCTTGGTTAGGGACAAGAAAAACAAGTGTTTTTAATCCAGCAGTCAAAGTTTTAATCCACTTTGAGATCTCTAAAAGCTGTTTCCATAGCAGTAACAGATAGAATAAGATCAAGAAAAATCATTAGAGGAAATAGGAGTGCAAAGAGAACCAAGATGTTGGCATAGGTAAACGCCTGTACTTGCTGCCTCCCACAACCACATCAAAATTACAACTGAAATACAGAACAACTATCATCCAGAACCACTGGAAAGCTGGCTGAATGGAAGTACTACAACTAGAGAAGTAAAGAACAAAGCACACTGAGACTGGTAGGAGGTGCGGAGATGCGGAACGGGCTGGTCTGGCACCTGAGTGTGCTGCTTTTTTAATTAGGAGGGAGATTGCCTCTCTGGAGACCACCAGGAGCAGCAAGGGGTCCCAGCCCCACACCAGACTCCCAGCCCAGGGTTCCAGAGCTGGGGAAAGAAGTACCTATGGGCAGTAAGAACTACGGACTGTAAAACCAGTGCAGATTGAGCGGAGTGACACACAGGCTGCTGAAGACCCAGCTGCTCCTTTTAAAAGGCCAGCACCATGAACTGAATTTACAAACTCATACTTCCTCTGAGATCCAGTGCCAGGCGAGACTCTAGGGGACCCAGACACATATGGGGAGCAACTGGACTGTCTGGCATTTGTGCAGACACTTGGGGCAGCTTTCTTCCAGACGGAGGTGCTCACAGCAGTCATTGTTCCTGTGCTGGGACCTCCCTGGTGCAGGGCTGACTGGCAGCCATCTCTGTTTGCTACACACAGGTGATTCCCTGAGACCCCACCCCACCCAGTTTACAACCCCACCCAAGCTGTGCTCAGCGGCTTTTGCATATGAATGGTCTTTCCTTTCTCAGGCCAAAACTGTCTAGCTGCAGCTGGTTCAGGGAGCCCCAAATCTATCAATAAAAAGCCCAAGGCCACACCAGCACCAGCCTGTCTTATTTCACAGTTGGGCCTCGTCTGGGCACTTCCAAACCCCATACAAAGAAGAGGAATCTGCAGATTTCTCTGTAGCTCCTGCTGGGCGGCCCCAGGCAGTGGCAACTTTGCACCTCCCTGGAGAACCAAGAGCCAGTGTACCTAGTGGTCAGTGTGAGACCATACCAGATTACAACTCTTCACATCCATAAGTGACACACTCAAGGGCCAGACACAGTGAGCACCAAAGCCCCACTGAAGTAAGTCCTGCTCCATAAGGGTGTCTCCTGAACAGCAGTTCTCTACTGTAGTTGCAGCTGGTCTCCATAGCCAATTGGCCTGGAGGTCAATTCCTCCCAGTAACACCAACAGCAATCAAGGCTCAACTACAACAAAACTGTACACAAAGCTCAGAGTGTCCACTTCAGGTAATTGGGGAGGCTGAGCCCCTGACCCCTATAGGACACCTACTACACAAGGCCACTCTATCAACTCAAGGAGACTTAGCAGCTACCCAATACATAGAAACAAACACAGGGAAGCAGCCAAAATGTGGAGACAGAGAAACATGTCACAAATGAAAGAAATGAAGGAAAGCAAACTACTGGATATAGAGTTCAAAACCACAGTTATAAGGCTACTCAAGAATCTTCTAGATACCTCCGAGGAACTTAGTGAGACTTTCAAGGATCTTAATAAGAATGCCAAAAAATGGAAAAGGACCAGTCAGAAATTAAACATACACTAACTGAAATAAAAAATAATATACAGAGATCCAACAGCAGACTAGAGGATCCCAAGAATCAAGTCAAAGATTTGGAATATGAAGAAGCAAAAAACACCCAACCAGAAAAGAAAAAAGAAAAAAGAATCGAAAAATATGAAGATAGTGCAAGGAGCCTCTGGGACAACTTCAAGCCTACCAATATCTGAATTATGGGGTTCCAGAAGAAGAGAGAGAGCAAGATATTGAAAACCTATTTGAAGAAATAATGACAGGAAACTTCCCCTACCTGGTGAAAGAAATAGACTTACAAGTCCAGGATGTGCAGAGAACCCCAAACAAAAGGAATCCAAAGAGGACCACACCAAGACACATCATAATTAAAATGCCAAAGGCAAAAGACAAAGAGAGAATCTTAAAAGCAGCAAGTGAAAAACAGTTAGTTATCTACAAGGGAGAGCCCATACTACTGTCGGCTGATTTCTCAACAGAAACTATGCAGGCCTGAAGGGAGGAGCAAGAAATATTCCAAGTGATGAATAGCAAGAACCTACAACCAAGAGTACTCTACCCAGCAAATTATCATTTAGAATTGAAGGTCAGATAAAGAGCTTCACAGACAAGCAGAAGCTAAAGGAGTTCACCACCACCAAACCAGTCTTATGAAATGCTGAAGGGTATTCTTTAAGAAGAGGAAGAAGAAGAAAAAGGTAAAGATAAAAAATATGAATAACAAAGTGACAACAAATACATTATCTATCGACAATTGAATCTAAAAATCAAATGAATAAAAATCTGATAAACAGAATAGACCGGTGGTTGGAATAGAATCGGGCATGGAAATGGAACAGACTGACGATTCTCAGAGGGAAGAGGGTGTGTGCAGGGGTGTGGGAAGAGATTAGCAAAGATCTTATATGTATGTATGTATGCAGTACCTATGGACACAGACAATAGGGTGGCAAGGGTCTGGGGTGGGGTGTGAACCAGGTGGAGAGGAGCTACAGGGGGGAAAAAAGAGGGACATCTGTAATAATCTCAACAATAAGGATTAATAAAAAAAAGAAAAAAATAAGAGTGCGAAGGTGTTAACAGAGATTTTTATAAAGGAGTCTTAATATTTATTTACTTTAATTAGGAAATTGGGAATGCCATAGAAGTGTGATATAGGTCAAAATAGAAAATGAAACAAAATAGTATATTTGATTTTTATTTTATTATAGTTGACATTCAATATTTTATATTAGTTTCAGGTGTACAGTATAGTGGTTAGACATTTACACAAGTTACACAGCAATCCCACAATACCATACATAGGTAGATAATACAGTACAGGGGATGGCAAAGGTAGGTTTAGTTTTATGGGTAAACATACAATAATTAATAATACAAGAGTAAACTGTTTCAGGTACTCAAAACTGTAAACCTACTCTTGCCCCAGTTTGTATTATTGACTATATTCCCTGTGCTATACTTGACAGGAGTTGATGTCAGGTTGAGTTTTAAAACGAATAAATAGTCATTTGCTAGGTGAACAGGCAAGAAATAATTAATGTAAAAGCCTGAAGACATGAAATAACTTGCTGTATGAAATATGAATTTTTATATTGCTAAGTCATAAAGTACGGATGAGACTGGACAGAGTAGATCAAGAAGGGCCTTATATATGTAATTGTAAGGATTTGGATTCTAAAGTGATGGAAATTTAGTAAGAGGAATTGGGCAAGGAAAAGCTGTGAGAAATTACAATGTCAAGCTACTTAATATTTTAGTTTTATTATGGTCAACCTTGCCTCATTTTGATAAGTAGTTAAATGACATTTGATAATACAGAGCCGTGGTGCTTGCCTCTTTTTTCAAATCTTGACAAATACAAGAAACACCTCACATTTCTATCACCATGACAGTGAGTCTCATGAGGGAACAAACCTCCTTAGCCAGGAATTCACTCACTGAGTGATAACTATTACTTGTTGGCAGTGTCTTCTCACACTTCAGCTTTAAATACCACACCCTAAACTTTTGGTAAAGAAGTTAAATAATATATAAATTAGGACTTAAATATTCTAGAAACAAACTTATATAAAGATATCTTTCTATGTTATGTCAAACCATATGAAATCGCTGATATTTTGTCAAGTTTTATGAGCTACAAAACTTTTTATATAGTCTAACCAATACATTTAATAATCTATGTTTTTAATAATGGGTTCCTAGTTTATTTGCTTTTGAGGGTGGAGTAACATCTGTTGTCTTTTATAATGTATATTAACAGTAAATATAATTTCATTTCTTAAACTTTAAGTGTAGGAAACATATCTATAAGTTTAGATTGAGTGTCTGAAAACAAAATTTGAAGAAAATCTTATTTCTTTAGAAAGTATAGGTCTTGTTTTTGTCTAGACGACTATGAGAGGGTTTGTCAAGTGAAGGCACACAGTAAATGATTGCTTATGGCTTCTTCTGTCAGCTTTTAGTTTGGATGCTGAACAGCCTGACTATGATTTGGATTCTGAAGATGAAGTATTCGTGAATAAACTGAAAAAGAAAATGGACATCTGCCCATTGCAGTTTGAGGAGATGATTGACCGTCTAGAAAAAGGGAGTGGTCAGCAGGTACAACTTCATCCTATCTCTGCCTACTATAACCTGTATAGTTTTGAGCAGTATGTTTATATTTCTCTGTGCCTCTGTGCCTCAATTTTCTCATCTGTAAAGTAAATATGATAAATATCATGGGATTGTTGTGAAAATTAAATAAAATAATGTGTATAAAACGTCTACCTCAATGACTAGCATGTAAGGTACTCTGTGTTTGCTATTGTAAATACTGTTGTTATTTTTATTGTTGTCATTTAAATTTGAAATTACCTTTGAACCTTATATATGTATATTATATGAAAATGACATAATAATTTTACATTTAGCCAGTCAGTCTGCAGGAAGCCAAATTACTGCTAAAAGAAGATGATGAATTAATTAAAGAAGTTTATGAATACTGGATTAAAAAGAGAAAAAACTGTCGAGGGCCATCTCTTATCCCATCAGTAAAACAAGAAAAGCGAGATGGTTCTAGCACAAATGATCCTTATGTGGCTTTTAGAAGACGAACTGAAAAAATGCAGACTCGAAAAGTAAGTGAATTTGAGAAATTTTTTACGTGTTTTTGATGTAAGAAAAACTATTTATAGTTATGAATGTCTCAGTATCTGGAAGTTGTGTTTTAATTTGTGTTTAAATAGACTTTATATACAATATAATGAAAAATACTAATTTAAAATAACTTGGCCTTAAGACTCATTATGGAGCTGTTGGTATATTTTAATCTTCATCCGTTTAAAATCATATACAAACTTGATTTCCTGGAGATCCATTCCCCCTTTCAATGTTCTAAAATTCTCTCTTAACCCTTCAAATAAATATATATACTAGAGACCTGGCACTGGGGGTAGGGGAGTGGTCCCTCAGCCCAGCATGCACCCTCTCCAATCTGGGACCCCTCGGGGGATGTCCTAAACCGGCAGTTGGACATCCCTCTCACAATCCAGG